TTAATTGTATCTTGTGGGAAAAGTGCACCTCTTTGTTAATTTTGGGGCGCTGAATCCAAAAATGACAATGAAATAAAAAAATTAGTTGCGGTTTAGAAAAAAAACTTTTTATTTTTAAGGATATATTAAAAAAAGTAACAAGATTCATATACTTATAAGAATCACTATATGCGCTGTCTTTTTGCTGTTCTTTTATGGATCGTTTCTGGAGCATCTCTACCAAGAGTCCAACAGTAGTCTGCAAGCATGGAAGGATTCCACTTTCCCTGGTACCTTTTTTCCATTGTTGAAATATCCTGATGAAAACGTTCGCCGTGCTCATCACTTACGGCTCCGGAATTGTCAGGAAAAAAGTCCAGGTGTGAGTGTAGGAAATGTATCTTAAGAGACATATTACAGCCCATCTTTTGATACGATGACAGCATATTTTTGACAAGGGTTTTATAGTTGTCAGCTTTTCTATTTCCCAAGAAATTAGTGACCACCAGACGGAAATCATTCCAAGTAGTTTTTTCAATACCTGTTAAAGTGTTTTCAAACTGAGTATCTTTCAAAACATTTCGAATCTGTGGCCCAACAAAAATACCTTCTTTAACCTTTGCCTCACTTAGTCTTGGAAATTTCTGACGCTGACCCATCTCTATCTAATGTTTTTCATTAGGCCCAACTTGATATGCAGTGGTGGTAATAAAATTTTTTTCGAATCTACTAATGGCATATGCTGTACATTTTTTTGACCTGGCTCTAGGAATTGACGAACAGGCCAGTTTTGTCTGGTGTAATGAAGTGCCTTTGCCCGACTGTCCCATTCACACAAAAAACAGCAAAACTTTGTGTAGCCTAGCTGCAGCCCAAGTAAAAGTGCAACAACTTTCAAGTCGCCACAAATATGCCATTGGTGCTCATCGTATTTTATGCATGTCAATAGGTACTTCATATTGTCATATGATTCTTTCATGTGAACTGCATACCCTACAGGAAGAGATGGTAAAATATTTCCAATATGCAATAACACTGCCTTTAAACTCAATGTTGAACTGTCTATAAACAATCTCCATTCTTCTGGGTTATAGTTTATATTTAAAGCCGCCAGTAAGCCGTTAATGTTACTGCAGAAAACCAAGTTATTCTCCATATTGAAAAATGGTTCTAAGTCTTTGTGGCGTTTACGAAAAACACATACCGAAACATCGTCTTCTAACAAGTTCCACTGGTGCAGTCTTGAACTCTGCCTTACATTTTGGAAGTCCTAAATCTCTTACAAGATCATTTAATTCTGACTGTGTTATTTTGTGCGGTTGGTGGCATGACGTGCTCGGTATAAAATCAGGATCTCTTGACGTTGATGGCATATCTTCTTCCTGACGAATCTCTCGATCGCCATGTTTCGCAAGTGTAGGATTCTGGGGGTTTTGGAATAGGATTTTCGTCACTGTGAGGCACAGGTCTCATCGCAGATGGTCTGTTTGGGTAGTTAATAACCGATTTTTTTTCTTGGACATACCTGCGGCTTGTCCAACACAAGGTACCATGCAAAAGTAACAATCATTAATATGATTTGTAGGCTCTCTCAAACCATTGGGATAGCAACGCGCATAGACCGTTTTTTGCCATTTAACCAGCTCCTCAGACTTGAAGCACATGTATTACAGCAGATGTGGGGTGCCCACTGTTTGTCTTGATCACCTAGTTTACAACCGAAATAAAGCTGATATGCCTTTGTTATTAGTGGAGTAATAGACCGTCTCTGAGACGCAAAAGTCACATCACCACACACGTAACAAAACTGATCTGGATTGTTTACACACTTTCGAGACATCTTGCATGAACGCTGTCAGCCAACTGAGGAAAAAATGGCTAATATAAAACAATATAATGTACACGTATGTATAACGTAACACAATCATGCCGATTACATCATCTTTCCTTGCCGAATATAAAAATGTAGCACGTGCATTCTTGTGAATTACAGTATATTAACACTGTCACAGCAGGAACACATATAATTACCGTATCTCTAAAACTTGAACTAATATTGAAAAAATAAGTTTCATTCCGGTTTTAGCACATTAAAAATAGTAATATTTTGTTGATTTTATTTAGGATATTTTTTGGCTGTTGATCAGTGTAATGACTGACTTCCCTAAGGCGTTCGACACGGTTAACCACACAATTTTGTTGACTGAATTAAAATATACTGGACTTTCTGGCATTCCTCTTAAATATTTTGAAACTTACTTAACTAATCGTAAACAAAAGTTGAAGGCAGATAGATGTGTCTCATCTTCTGTGGCCGTTTCTTCAGGTGTCCCTCAGGGGTCTGTTAGGTCCTTTGCTGTATCTGAGATATACTTCTGATAAACATTAACGTATTAAACATTGTGCTATACAGGGTGTTAGGGAAATAATATCCGTAACTTTAAGAGGTGATTCCTTGCATTATTCTACGCAAAAAAGTTCATTATAACCTATGTCCGATAATCAACCGTTTCGGAGAAAAAAAAATCTAAACTTATTTATTTTTAGTCATGAAATACATTAATTTTGCGCCTTAATAATTTAAATTCATATGCCTAATAGCGTAAAATGTATCAATACATCTATTCATTAATTAACTATCTCTAACAAAATAATTTTCTTGCTTATTGAATACAATTTTCCGAAGAAAAGCAGACAAACAAAATCCCTCACACAACTGGCAACGTCGTACTCCGACTGCACTGCATGTATCATCGCGTGTTGTTCAGATTACTAATACATTTAACTGTAACTTTATGTGATTTACGGATGTTGGTTTTTTGCTTTTTTCATGCATCGCATCGTTTCAAATAAGTGACTGATAATCGTGAGAATTCGTGGTGTATACCGCCACGTATCGGTATGTTCTGTAATTTTTTTTTCTTAGTAAACGTACTGTACTGAAAGCGTTATTAAATAAAAAATATTAGCCTCAAAATATTACGTAAAAGTATTCCATAATTCAAGGTATATTTTCATACAAACGTAAGCAATTCGATACATCAGTTGCCAAATGCCAAAATTTAACTATTTACGACTCACTCTCCTCGAAAACGATTGATTTTCGGACATAAGTTATAATGAACTTTTTTGCTTAGAATAATGCAAGGAATCACCTCTTAAAGTTACGAATATTATTTCCCTAGCACCCTGTATACAAACTTACGCGGATGCTACGCAACTTTCGTTTCATTTTGACTTGTCTCGTCTGGATGAAGTGTCAAATAAAGTAAATTACGATCTTGTCAACATAACTGATTTTTGTAAGAGCTACATGTTAAAGATTATTCCGGATAAGAGTACATGCATACTTTTTTATCCTAAGCACTTGTATAATAGAGTAAGGGACAGGATTGCATTGAGCATCAACAATGAGCCCATTCCTATCCTAGAACAAGCAAAAAATCTTGGTGTCATCTTCGACTCTAGTTTAGAGATTTAATTATGCTAATAGATTCATTTTGAACTTTAAAACGCGTAAGAAGCTAGTTGAAAGATTGATTACGTCCAGCCTTAACTATGCTTAAACTTGATATTATCCTTGTCTTGACTCGTAATCGGTGTAGGATCCAAAGATTGCAAAACAACGGCTGTAGGTTTGTGTATGGTCTTCGAAAATATATTCATGTCTCCTCTAAGATCAAGGAGTTAAAATGGCTGAAAATGGATCAACAATTTGAATGTAGTTTTCAGGTATTTGTGCGTAAGATAATATATACTAAAAAGCCCTTTTATTTCCATAGTAAATTGATACCTAGAGGAATCATTGATCTTAGAGATGTAAGGCATAATAATAATCTTGCAATGCCTTTGCATTACACCGCATTGTTCCAAAAATGTTTCACTTTCCAATTCAGGAATGCTAAAAATCAGCTGATAAATCTATTGTGATTAGTTGTTATGATCTTTTATTTATTGTTCTTTATATTATCATCCATTCATTATTAGTTTTCATCTGGTTCCTTTTTTCAACATAGCGTAGATTTATCAACTGAATACTATCTTTCTCTTTCTATTAGCTCACTCAGTTGAATATCATATCGATGTATTATATTTTTAGGTTGTTATGTATCTAATTTCTCATTGTACGTACATATTTTCTCGCACAATAGGATTGGGTGTAAGAGTGGCCAACTGGCTAAACTTCGCCCTATTGTTGTGATTCTAATAAAGACATATTATTATTATTATTATCTAATCCATTACAACACTGACACGACCTTATAGGGAAACATATTTTATCCTCATACTCAATGGAAGATGGAACCATTTCTGCATACAACTATATACCGGTTGACCTCTGTATTTAGGTATCAGCAGTGCCATTTCTCTAAGCGTTGCGGCATATTATTCGAATTCTGTTTCCGTCGCCGAGAAATTCTGAGAATACGGAATCTTATGAATAATTATGAGGCAGGTCGAAGGCTGATCTTTCCTTGGAAGGTTAGATGTAAACAATTTTCTTCAAAAGGTACGTGGAGTCTTTTTTCCTTGCTTCCCAGTGAATTACTGCCACCCTACTTGGCAACATGGCTGTGTCGATGCAAATTTAAGGGCGGTATCGTTAGTCGTTCCTAGGACGCCTTTATGACCTCCTTGATTTTCATAGTTTTCTACTCTCCGTGTCAAAGCTCTATTTTGAGGTTATGTTACAAATATCTATTTGCATCAAATTGTTCATACTATTGATTTATATCATCTGTTATATAACCTGAAATTTCCTACAATTCAAGAAGAAAACACAGCCTGACAATAGGAGAGCGCGGACGCTAACACGGAACATTAGAAATCTAGAAATATCTCAGCCTTTCTGAACTAGAGAAAAGACTATGGCAATCAAAGCCGTAAATGCATGCAACAATTGTAGGAACCACTGTCGATACGGCCCAAGTGAATGTTCAAAAACATAATGGTTGGGCATACCCTTGAAGAATACACTTCTCAATGCTAAAAGGGACAGTAAAAGACAAAGGAACTCTTACCCAACGTAGCCGCCGTTGCAGCAGCCGCATTGCTACCGCCGCCGCCGCAAAATACATTGGTGACCCTCTCCATGACACTGGTTTTCGCCGAAGTGGCTGCATGATGATGTTTGCTGCCTCTTAGCCCTAAACCGTTGATCCGCTTGGACAGTTCCGCAGAGGCCCGTTCAACCACCCCTTGCGCCGAAATCGATGACATTTTTTCTCCGCCCGCTTTGCCGCCCCCAAAAGGCGGCAACCAACCGGTTAACACTCCCCGCAACTGATGCACATTATTCCATCCGTTAGACACTGGAGACACGTCGGTTCGCCTTTAGTTAATTCAAGCAAATCTTCTTTTTTGTAGTTCACTGTTAAAAATATATAAATAAGCCTTTTATATTTGGACTTCAAAACTGGAGCATCACGAAAGCCCATTTCCCACAACTATCTTGACAATAGACGGAACCAGAAATAAATTTATAGCATTTCTAGTTTCAAGAAAGTTGTGACATGTTCTAAACCGGCAATTGGTCCATAGAAAGGAGGTGGCTCGTCGACTTTTTCTAAGATACCATTTTCTTACGAATAATTTCACACTACACATTCTTATTTTATTTTCACTACTTTTCTGAATACTTGTAAGAAACGATCATACCTAACAACAAATAATACGTATCTGCATTCGGTGTATTTACGCACTAAGTCCTATTATTCTAGTGATCCGTGATAAACAAGTCGAAATATAAAAGAAAATGGGAATAACTTTATGGTCAGTGAAGAAAAAGAAATAGACGTGTTGGCCTATGTTGAAGTAAATTAAGCAAATGAATTAAATACATATCCTATCATTATTATAACAAAAAATTATGGAGTCCCATCTTGTTGAAAATAGATATCAACTTGGTTAGCCACTGGCAAGTCTTCATTGAAAGCATTTATTTCATTATTTAGATATATTTCCGCAGTAAGTTATCCATCGAAAATTATTGGTCCCAAAAGTTTTTCTCCGATAATACCGATCCAGCATTTGAATCAAATCGGTCTTGAAAATTTCTTTCTTGTATTATACGTTTGTTTGTGACCAGTACCTTTTATAATTGATCGATCAAACGAACTTACCTGAAGTGAAGTTCGATCGTAATTATACGAGGGTCCAGTCCGAAGACATCACTTTGTTTATTCACTATGTAGTCCGCCCCTGGAGTACGATCCGCGCACCAAGTTGAAAGACGAGAATCCCCACCTCCTCGCCGCGCCCTGGCCACTCGCGTTGAATCATTTGTTTAAAGAAATGGTACTTGCTCGCAACTTGGGAGGGTTGCATATAGGGTGGGGGTGATGTCTTCGGACTGGACCCTCGTATAATTACGATCGAACTTCACTTCAGGTAAGTTCGTTTGATCGATCAATTATACTTTGGGTCCAGTCCGAAGACATCACTTTGTTTATTCACTATGTAGATGTTTAAAGATGAGATAGAGTTGCGAGCGAGTTGATGATATAAAAAATACAAGTATACAAACACAAAAAGGCAAAAACATATATTCTGCATTCTCATAAACAAAAGCAAAAAAACAAGGGGTCAATTTTTAACATTTACCCTAATAGTAATATTTTTTCAAAAAACAACTAGAGTACCTAAAGTACGTCACAAACTCTTAAACTGTTCTAACTAATCAGGCATTTATGTCCAAAATGGCCTTTGCAAACTCATTGTTGGTTTGTAAAGGACGATTATAAAACTTTGCAAATGTGGAATGTTGCGTCCAACCAACTGTTTTACATATACTATCTACGGAAACGCCTTTTCTTAACGCCGTTGAGGTAGCCGCATGCCCGACTGAATGAGGCGTAAAAAGTGTTGTGTTGACACCCGCCGATGCAAGAGTCTGTTTTACCCATCTGCTTAAAGTGTCTTTGGACGCCCTGGTATGTGGTTTTTTATATGTCACGAATAGAAAATCGTTGTCGGGTTCTCTCAAGCTAGCTGTTCTGTCAATATATTCCTTCAGGATGGTGGCTACGCACAGGAAAGGGTTTTGTTGAAAAACCGGTATATGCAAGGTTGGTTGAGGTTTCCCAATTCGACTGGTTTTAATTGGGTCTGAAATATTAATGGTAGTTTCGCTGGGACCATGGGAGGTATGTGAAAGACGAATAAGAGAAATTGTCTGGAGTCTTTCTCCTGTTATTAGAGCTAATAACGTTGTCAATTTTTGTGACAGACTTTGGAGGCTAAGTGGAGATGGTAACTTTTCTAGATAACTTAGGAGAGGTATAGGATCCCAGGTGGCCGAATATTTTGGCCGAGAAGGCCGTAAACGATGAATGCCTTTTTTGAAGCGTCTAATTATAGGATTGGATGCTAAATCAGTTGAGCAAATTAGTGAAAGAGCAGATGTATGAGAATTAAAAGTGCCAGACGTGAGGTTTTTCTTCTTTGTCAACTCTTGCAAGAATGACACCACGTCTTTGATTGTGGGTTTAAAGATCGAAATGTCATTACTAAAGCAAAATTCCCACCACAATTTGTAGGAGCTGTTATATTGCTGCAATGTGGATCTGGAGACTGAGGCGATGATTGTAGAAATAGCAGATTCCGGCACCTCTCTACTCAAAAACGCTTGCCTGATAACTTCGCTGCTACCAGGGTAAGGGTTTTCGACAGCGGATGTGACCTGGAAACCGCACAAGATAGTAAATCAGGTGAAGGGGGAAAATGAATTTCTTGGTCGATCAATAACTGACGGAAAAGTGGGTACCAAGGTTGTGAAGGCCACCAAGGAACCACCAAAATTCCGACAGCCTTATCCTGAATTATTTTTTGTAAAACTCGGAGAATTAAGGTAAAAGGGGGGAATGCATAAAAATAAAAACTGTTCCAGCGAATTGTAAACGCATCGATATATGTAGATCCTGGATCTCTATGCCAGGAAGCGTATACCTCGCATTTCGCATTGGTATGAGAGGCAAAAGGATCGATCTCTGGTTTTCCGAAGATGTCGGTTAAATGGTCGAAGGCAGTTTGAGATAATGACCATTCCGTTTCAAAATTCAAGCTCCTGGACTCATCGTCTGCTATAGCGTTATCTTTAGATGGGATGTATGATGCAAAAAGCCAGAGATTTCTTTCCTCACACCATTGCCAAATTTGTTTAGCCAGAGAACATAGCTCTGGAAACCGAACACTCCCCATTCTGTTAATGTAAGAAACGGCTGTTGTATTGTCGCATCGAATTAGAATATTGCAATTTTTTAAAAGTTTTGCATAACACTGGATGCCGTAAAAGATATAGCCCATAATTCCAAATTATTTATATGCAATGGTTTTTGGGAGTCGGACCAGAAACCGTGGGTTCTATCCTGGCCAGAGCAAGCCCCCCCATCCTGTTAGCGATGCGTCGGTAAAGATGGTGATATGAAAGGAATCATACCTTATGTCATTGAAAACTGTTGAAATGTGATCTTTCCACCATGAAATATCGCTCTTTATGTTTTCAGGAATAGCCATACTTGCGTTATAATTTCCATTGTTTTTCTCTAAAGCTAAGAATTTTTCCCTTTCTAGAGATTTGCAATAAAGAAGCCCGTATTTCACACCAGGACAAGCCGACCCCAAGGTGCCAATGAACCTTGCCCAGTCGCGAATTCTACATCTCGATTGGTTCAAATAATATGAGGCTAACCTGAGGATGTGATTTTTCTTTTCGGCAGGAAGTTCAATTGTTAAATTAACACTATCTATCAGAAAGCCGAGGAATCTTATACGAGTAGTGGGTACCAGAATGCTTTTGCTGTTATTGATGATAAGACCCAATGAGCTTAAAAACCGAATGGTTGTGCTAACATTATTAAGGCAGGATTCATAGGAAACTCCAAAGATTAGAAAATCGTCTAAATAATTGACTGTAGAGATGCCTAAATTGCGGAGAAAGGAGACGACTGGCTTCATAAGCTTTGTGTGCAAGTCGCGTATAGCTACTCGAACTAGCGATGTTTCTGTCGAAGAAAAATTATTTGTGCCCAAAGGTTGACGTAATGGAGGTGTGCATTTAAAGGGAATCCGGTAACCTTGAATCCAGGATAAGACTATCGGATTTGAAGTTAGTTTTGACCAAGAGTTGAGGTAAAATTGTAGCCGACCAGCAAATAGAACTTGTTTTACCTTCAACGTTTTCTGGACTGCTGTTGTCTGTTCGGAGCAAACTGTTTTGAGGAATTGCCCTTGTGCTGCCTCACCTCCCTCTTGCGGTAAGACGGGCGATACCTGTTTAAAGCGCCTACATTCTTTGACGAGTTGCCTCCCCCCCCTCTTCTTTCAGGATTACTGAAAGACCGAGTCACTTGAGAGCTACTGCGTGAGGGGATAGAGGACAAACGTAGGTCCTGTCCGGCCTTCTCCAAAGATTTCAAATTTTTCGCCCGCTCACCTAAATCTGGCCCGAATAAGAACTCCCCTGGTAAGGTGTTTTCAGTCAGTTCTTTAACTGATTTGTTGAGTACTGGGCTGATCAGGTACTTTCTAGTTTTAGAGATGTCGTGAAAGAGTGCCGCCAAGATTCGCGCAGAATCTGTCAAATTCGATAAAATCTTTTCCTTGGTATCCTTGGGAATCTGGGTTTCTTCTTCCAAAATGACGTTAAAAGCTTTCCCCATGGCGGTCAGTCCGGTACCAATGTTCAATTGGTACCCGGAATGGGTGGCATCTCTCGTTAAATGAGTAGAAGAGAGAATGGCTTTCACTTCGGGGTTTATCTTCGGAGGGTGTAAAGAGGCACAGTTAGAAGGCACAATGTGTTTTTCTCTAATGATGGTGGTGTCCTCGGTGGAAAGTCCGTTGGCCAAAATGTGGGACCATCGAGAAGCTAAGGCACCGTGTAGTTGGAAGTTAGACCTATTGGCTTTTTTAGGATCTACACCCAGGATATTTAATATGTCTTCCGATAATGGGAGACACTCACCTTCACTAAGCATCAAAACATCCTCCATATCATTTTTCTCAGTTGGTACCGTTCCCAAGTCCGGCCCTGTCAGAATCTGAGCTTCCGCCTCGCACGGAGAACGGCCAGCCGAGTCTACCTGACGCTGTACCTTATCAGATGGGCTGCCTGAGTTTTTCTCTTGACGCAAATATTCCCGTCTCTCTCTACGTCGCCTCGACACGCTCGGTGATCGACTGCGACTGTTACTACTCCTAGAATGTGACCTTGAACGCCTACGGCTGATGCGAGAGCGGGAGCGTCTAAAATGATGAGGTGAATTGGTACGAGACATGGATCTGCTGTGTCGACTCTTTCGGGATAAACTTCTCGAATTAGTGCGAGAACGATAACCACCTGACCTTGCCTCGAGCTCCTCCTGTAAAATG